ACACACACACACACCACACACCACACACACACACACACACACACACACACCACACACACACACACACACACACACACACACACACACACACATCACACCATACCACAGAGCTAACCTGGGCTACATGAGCTCTGTCTCAAGAAAAACAAATTGCCAATCAGTTCTCGTGAATGTACGGAGTTACAAAGGGATGCTGTGATTCAACACATGGGATGGCTTCAGATACCGGCGAAGAAAGGTGACTCTTTCCCATCCCAGAAAAACTCCTGGTGCCCTAAGGTGTCATCTGCAGCACAGTGCAGTGTCCTTTCTACCAGAGCAGGGCGCCAGCTCTGTTTCAGAGATTCAGAGTGTCTTGTGTTAGCAGCATTGCGGTGGCCTTTCTTCTCTCAGCAATGCAAACCATGTCTCAGCCGTGTCCTGTGTACACGGGTGTATGTGGGGGTGGGGGAGCACACCGCATGGAAGATGCCATCCTGAGAACTAGGAAACGCTCGTCTGTTGCTCACAGGGAGATACGTAATTATTTAGAAAGTAGATGTTTCTAGAACGAGAGATTGGCTGGAATCTTACTGTCCTCATCTAACGTACACCCCGTAAACAGGAGTTTTGCTCTTGCCTGCTCTGTCTAGATCGTCTCCCTTTCTCTGGAGCAGAGCAGATGAGGATACAGTCTGACCCTTCAGTGTGTCAAGGCTCAGTCACTCACCCATGAGGTGACAGACATAAATGGGGAATGATGGAGAAGACCTGTCCATGTCACAGGGCGGCCATCTTTGAATTATGAAGTGCCACAGCAGGGAGACTCTCATACACACTGGTGTCACCAATGAGTGGGGAAGATCTCAGTGAGGGAGGGCGCTGCCTGGATCTGTGGGTGCCACTGAGTTGAGCTGGGAGGAAGGAAGGTCACTGAGCGCAGTCTGCTCATGGTATAAGGCAGTGAGTGTGGGGGGGGGAAGGTTTATTCCTCACATGTCTTTTTTCATAGACAAAAGAAAAAAAAAAAGTAACTCTGCTAGGTTTTCCCAATGGCATCTTCTGTGGCCTAAAACACTGGCACCTCCTGAGGGTTACTTTGATATCTTGAAATAAAAATGACTAAAACCATGATATAATATGACATAGACTGGGACTCAAATACAACTGTATCCATACAAAGTAGAGGACATGGGGCTGTGGTTTGCATGGGAATGGCTACACTGGTGCCCTGGAGACGTAAGGGCCTAAGTGGAAACAGAAATGTCTTCTATATTAATCACTCTGTGCTAATATCCAATCACAACACTTTAGAAACATCTTAACAGAACTCATGGTGTAAGATAGCAAGAATCTAGAAATGGACCAGCCGACATTTCAGTGGACAAGTATCTTCAGTTTTATCTGACTTCTCAACCTGAGAGGGGAAACTTAGATTCTAACGTATAAACGATCTTTACTCTCAAAGGCTAGTACACTTCAAATAAGTTACATGGCTAAAGCAGTGTGAATCAAAATGCTAGTGCCTCCTGAGTTCCGGGCCAGCATCCTTGCCCATTCTTACTGTGAAACACCCTGCTTATATCTCCCTTAAATGTTCTTGCCTCTGTGGGGGACCTCCAGAGGTGCTTGGTCCGAAGAGACCAGAAGATGAGGTGAGAACAGTTGGGTTGGCCTGTGACTCATTCTGGAAGCTGGGCTCGGCATATCTGTTCCTTTCTACTTCTCTGTGTCCTTAACACTTGCTTTAAAATACGCTGCCACCCGTGTGGGCCTTCTGTGGAGTAAAAAACAACTCGGTGACCTGGGATTTACTCATTATGACTCTTTTTTTCCAGATCTGTGTGGCACTCCAGTCAGTCATCCTGAACCCTAGGAGTGAGGAGTGGAGTCACAGCCCCAAAGGTCACTGTGCGCCTCACATCTTGTGACTGCCATGATAAGGAATTTCATCTCGTGTCTGCTGTACTTGTCTCATGCGTGATATTGGTTTGAAAATCTCTGACTTGGCATCATGACAAACTCCAACTCTTCTCTTAGGTGAAAAGAAGTTTATAAAACTGAGCACCCCTTTGCATATTTGGATGGAAGCTGGGTTGGCAATAGAGCATTAAATTTAGCCGTGGGGAAAAACGGTGAAGCCATTTCTTGTCAGTAGGGATTTAAGAGTGGGTACAAGTGTTTCATAGCAAATGTATCTGACACATCCATCTACGATTTGCTATTTGGAAAGAACTTGGTTTGATTTCTCAAATATTTGATTGACCACAAATTCAAGGCATTCAGTTGCAACTAATGCCATGGGTTGGTTATTCTGGGAGGTTCTGTACAGTACTTTAAGTCACTCCTCTCAATCAGGAGTAGGACTTACAGATCTGGAGATTCTTAATTTTTAGAACTTTATCCCTTAGATTCAGTAAAATAAGCCAGGCAGTGGTAGTGCACGCCTTTAAATCCCAGCACTTGGAAGGCAGAGGCAGGTGAATCTCAGTGAGTTTGAGGCCAGCCTAGTCTACAGAGTGAGTTCCAAGACAGCCAGGACTATTACAAGGAGAAACCCTGTCTCAAAAAACCAAGCCAAAATTAATTAATTAACTAATTAATTAATTAGAAAGATTTGTGGAATAATTAGAAGAGAGTGAATATCTAGTTCTACAGTGAATGGCCATCATTCACCTGATTACACAGTGAGTTCAGATGATTCCGAAAGCTAACTCGTAGTGGATTTCAAACGATAACAGCACTGAACGTGTTCTTGTCTTGCTCAGATCTCTCTTGGTTTGTTTTCCCCTCACCAATCACAGTGTGTAGATTTTCCTACCAGCTGATTTCTTACTCTTCTATGGGACTTTTATTTATGTATTTATTTTTAGATGGGGAAAGACATTCACCTTTACCACACTTATTGTAACGAAATGTAATAACAGTCACTCCCGAGTGTTCTCATTGTCTCTGCTAAATTTGCATTCAGTGGAATTGAACTTTAATTATTCAGCATGTGAGGGTACAGGTTACACCTGTTTAATTAATGAAATTTTCATCATTGTCAGACTTGCATGGGTAACAGGCGAATTTTGTACCAGAAGAGCTAAAATGGAGGTTTATAAAACCATCCAGAAATTGCACTATTCAGATCATTCACTGGGCTCCTTGACCAGAATAATCCTTACATTTATGAAAAAAAAATTTACCAAAATGAAGAAAAGAGATTTCTATTTTTCCCTTCCCCCTAGTCTTAAGTCTTAATGTCACTTGTTTATCTGGGAAGCTGAGAAAGTGTGCTTTTGCGATGTGTCTGTGGCCGGTGGTGTTATAGGACCTCTGTAACCCTGAGATAATTCTGTGCTCCAGACGGACAAGGAAGAGGAGATCCAAGGTTAGGTGGTGCTACTTCCCAGTGGGGAAGACAATGTTATTTAAAGCCTAGCCTGAGCTATAGTGGGAGATGTCACCAAGGGGGCGGGGGTGTCCTTGTCCCTGTATCTTATTTCTGTAACCTGTAAGATTGACTTGGCCTTTGAGATAGGAAGTCTTTTTTAGCATTTTCTTACTTGGACTTTCTTGGTAAATGCGCACTAGGATGCTGTTTCTTAAAAATGTGCCTTCATGGGCTCAAGGCTGAGAAGGCGACTCCAAGAAGACTTCCAACACCAGGTTCATGGTCACCTGCAGGGGCGGGGGCGGGGGAGGGCTTTACACAGATGTATAGTCAGACCCTTTGCTTCCCAGATTTTCTTGGCTTCCTCACCAGACAGGATCTTGGATCTTACAATGGTTTTGACATCTCATGACTCATGGGTTTTGTGTGTGTGTGTGTGTGTGTGTGTGTGTGTGTGTGTGTGTGTGTGTGTGTATGTTTTTCCATAATTCTTTTCCATATCAAGCTTGTTGAGCTCATGGGAATGCCTGTAGCTTACTGAGTTGCTGATTAAACCTCCATTCCATTGAGAATTACCCAGAACCCTGGGTCTCTCTCTGCCTGCTTTGCTAGGTTATAGTAGCAGAAGAGAGAAGCTGTGTTGGTTGGTCACTCTCCTGCCTTCAAAATGACACCAAATACAAAATAAGAAGAAAGGCAAGGGAGGGCCACTACCACAATTAAAAACAAGCAACAACAACAACAACAACAAAAACACTCAAGCTGCATGATGGAAGTTTCTTAGAGTTGACAGAAATCAAGCTAGATCAAGGTCAAAAAATAAATAATAATAATAATAATAATAATATTGAAATTCCTAGGAAGAGGGTGAATAATAAAAGGCAAGAAGAGGAGACATGGTCCAGTGAGATGTGTGTTAGGGACTCCATGGGAGCATCACTTGAGCCTGGATCCTCAAAACCCACAAACCAAACTGGCCAAGACAAGATTCTTATCTGTTTTCTAAGAACAAGCCAAGACTGCTGAACCCATTTCACTAGAGAGTACACAGTAGAAATGAGCCAAAGTCCCGACAGGAAGCATCAACACTTACTTAGACAAGTCCTAAGACATAGTCAAAGCGGGAGCTCAGACATACGTTTCTCGGCTTTGCGTTGTGTTCATTCTTGCTTGCGTAGTTTGATGTAACAAAAAAAAAAAAGTGTAATCTGTGTATCAGTCTTAAAATTCAGATTATGGTGGGATATTGGGGAAAGTCTATCTTTTATGCTTGTGTGGTCTGCTTTTAAGCTTCATGCACACTTGTGAGCTAATTATAGAATTAGAAATGTTAAAGGCTGGGGCTGAAGAAATGGCTCAGAGGTTAAGAGCACCGGCTGCTCTTCTAGAGGTCCTGAGTTCAATTCCCAGCAACCACATGGTGGCTCGCAACCATCTGTAATAGGGTCTAATTCTCTCTTCTGGTGTGCATGAAGACAGGTTACTCATATACATAAAATATGGAGGAAAAAAAGAAATGTTAAAGGCCAATCAGCATGTAGCACCATTTGGTAGCTAGACAGTGAAGAAGTACATTAAATCATTGCAATAAAAATATACTTGTGAGGCACCAGTGTATTTTTATTATGATTTCCTGCCTGCAATATAGGTCTCTTTGTATGTTTATTTGCTTTTAGAGCAAGGAAAAGGGTAAATAGGAAAGATCAAATGCAATAAATAAGACTGAAATATGCCCGAGAATCACCTAGGAAGGGATGCAGGGAATGGCATTCTCCTGTCCGGGACACGTGTGGACCAGGGGCTATTGTCAGGCTTTGGCATTGTCTGCCCTGTGGGAAAGATGATGGTGTTCATGTAATGATGGCTGATCTACTTCCTGTTGCTGCTTCATCACCAGCAGGAGGTTTGCCTCAAAAGGAAAGTGTGTGGAAACAGAGTTGGAAATGTCAGATCGGCTCCCTCCCCTTCTGATGCTCTGAGGAAGTCCAGGAGTAGAAACATGGGTGGTGGGTAGATACTTGGTAGATGGGTAGGTGAATGGGAGGACGGATGGATGGATAGGTCAGTGAGTAGGTAGGTGGATAGATGGGTCAGTGAGTGGGTAGGTCGATGGGTGCGTGGGTCAGTGGGTGGATGGATAGATAAATATTTAAGTAGAAAAAAATTTAGGAACTAAGTTTAAAACACACAGGGAGTAAATAAAATTTGGACCTGAGAAATGCAGTTGGAGCCTTTTCTGGAAATTTCTTTAACTCCTTTCAGAAAACAGCATGCCTATGCTTCATGTCTTGAAGAATTATCTTCAACATCATTTCTGAAAGAGAAAAATTATTGAAATTACAACAGAAATGATCCCACCTCACAACAGTAAGATAACTGCAAAATATTTTTCAAATACTAACTTGCTGAAAAAACAGCATGTGGTGGATGGTGAGTCTTGTAATGTGCCAGGATCACGGGACACAGATCTAGAACATTCTGTCAGGTCTGTCATGTCCTCCAAATGCAGCCTAAAGCAGAAGCCGGACCAAGTGGTGTTAGTGACTGATGGATGGATGGTCTTGCTCCCTCCAGTCACTGAGAAGAAAAATAGCCAGAACCTAGGTGGTGCACACTCCTTCCCAAAGAGCTGCTGAGGGAGCTGAAGTGTCCTCTAGGGAATGTCTATCTCCCCGTACCTGAGGAACGAATGCTCCACGCCTGGACACTGGAAGCCCAGTGTCAGCTAATTGAGCCCAGCTGAGACTCAGATCCCGTAAGGCAAAAGTTCAAATGCTGATGCTAACTTGAAACTTCGAGAAAGCAAGGCTGGCACCTCAAGCAGCAGAACGGACTCCTGACATTTTCTGTGAAGGGTTTGCCTCACAGCAGCTTTCAGAACGAGTAGGAATTTCTCCACAGCACATTGTCTGAAATCAGCTGATAAAGGGAGACTGTAATCCCAATGTGACACCGTGGTAACAGATTTTAATCACCAATCTGATGGGAGTCATCTTTCTGGTTCTGTTGTTCTTCCTCAAAAGACACTGGTGAAGCACCTCCCTACCCTTGGATTTTGGAAGAAAGCGCGACACTAAGAGACAGGCTATCTGGTCCCATTTAACAAAAGGTCTATTAAGATAGAGAACTCTGATACAAATGCAGGTCCTATGCAGGATATCAGATAATTAGAATAAAAACAGGTGCTTCAACTGCCTTAAATGCAATCCAAGCCCTGATTAACTATGAATAGCCTAAGATTAACGGGTCCAGGGTGAATGTGTGCATTTTAAAGTGACACTCCCTAATGGTGGCCAAAAAAAAAAAAAAGATGGCCAGTTAGCTCTATCATTCCCCTGGTGGGTGATGGAGTCCTAGCCTGGAAAGCCATACCTGGCCCGGACCTGAAGCCATGCCTGATCACAGGCCAGTGGTGCTTCTTTTTAGCCAACCAGGAGGCTTAAGCTTCTTGTGGGTACCCACCAGTGGGATGGAAAAATCCTTCTTGAGATCAGCAGCACCAGGCCAGATGAAAGGAATGGGTGACACCCACGTTCTCAAGCATAAAAAAACAGCAGAGATGAATGAGAGCTTAGGGGTCAGGGGTGGGAGTGGGGGACATGGGACTAAATGACAGACTATAGGTTCACATTGTTGCTGAGTATTGCTCTTCTTTCTCCCCGTGAGTGAGTCTCACATCAGACAAATCTCCACTCCCGTTCTTTCCTTCTGGTTCCTGTTGACAGACTCCCAGACAAGGACATTTCCTCCTACAGTGAGCAGCTCTAGTCCACTGTCAGGGCAGGAAGTCAGCATACTCAGAGATCTGTCACAGCCCTGCCCACAGCACAGTAGAGCCAAGACCAGCGACAGGCAGAGCCAGGGGCAGTGGACAGGGAGTGAGGTCAGCCCCTTTGCTGTCTGGGCCATCTGGATTCCCTCACCAGCCCTCGGCCCCCTTTGAGCAGCCTCTGCCCTTGAGCAGGGGCTATCCTAGACAGTCAATAAGGATCCCAAGGGAGCAGTGTGGCTCAGACAAAGCCTTATCTGAGTGATGAGTGATGAGCTGGGGGCTGGGTCCCTTCCCATTACTTTCTCATTGATTTACACCTCGAATGCCCAGCACATAGCTCTGGCTCCTCTCATAGGCTGAAATGTAAATCCAAGCTACACTGTGCCACATCTAGAGAAAAGCTTCTCCCTGAAATCGTGAGCGTAACCCACCCTGCAGAAGCCAGGGGTGAAGGGGCTCAGCATCTCAAGGTGGTGGACAGCTCACCTTGGGATGAGGGACGGACACCAGACTGAGCAGCCCAGTACAAGGAGATGATGAACCCTTGGCATCTCAGGTTCTGACGAGAATCAGGGAGACAAACCAGAAAGATCAGGGCTGCAGGCTGAAGAGAGGGGTCCCTACCTCTTCTTTTACCCTGAATGCCTTATTCAGGCCTTGTCTTTGCTGTGTTTCACACCGGCTGGGAAGCGAAGACGCATGCCTGCCTCTGGGCTCTGTGACAGACAGCCCCGGGTCAGTCTGAGTTCCAGACTGAGCACAGGTGGGAGGATGACTCCCTTTCCGCCAGCTGTCAGGGAAAATGCTGTTCCATTCCCGGTTTAATTCGTTTGCAGCCTGGTGGTGGGGAGTATGCAAGAGGAGGCAGGACCCCTTGACCAGCTCGTCCGCCGTCCGTCTGGGTCTGGCTCAGGGCCTGCAGCCACTTGACCTCTGGTCATTTTTCCTCCTTGAAGCCTAGCATAAGAGTGTCCTGCCGTGGGGCGGTGGCACACGCCTTTAATCCCAGCACTCTGGAGGCAGAGCCAGGTGGATCTCAGTGAGTTCGAGGCCAGCCTGGGCTACAGAGTGAGCTCCAGGAAAGGTGCCAAAACTACACAGAGAAACCCTGTCTTGAAAAACAATAAATAAATAAATAAATAAATAAATAAATAAATAAATAAATAAATAAATAAATAAATGTGTCCAGCCATGGTGAGTGAGTTCACAGGACCTGATTCCAGTTCCCAGAACCTACATGGTGGCTTGCAACCATATGAAATTCCACTTCCAGGGAATGTGATGCCTCCTCTGACCTCCACAGGCACCAGGCACCCACATGCATACTTGTAGGCAAGACATTTTTACACGCAAAATAAAGTGAATCTGAATTTTAAAAAGTGATAATAAAATCCTAAACACAAAAAAACCTTAGACTAAGCACCAGGTGTGATGGCACACACTTGTAATCCTGGTGCTCAGGAGGCTGAGGCAGGGGCATTTCAAGTTTGAGACCAGACTGAGAACTATAGTGAAACCCTATCTCAAAAAACAAACAACCAAACAAACAAATAAATGAATAAAAATGAATAGAACCAGGCCAAACAATATGAAAAATGTAAAAGCGGGCATTTACTTATGTTTGTTAGAAATGATACATCTAGAAAATGCAGATTTTAAACAGAAGAAAAAAATCTGTGCTAAATCCCACAACCCAGAAGACTGTTCCATCGTGTTCTTGTGGAAGGGTGCGCACATGTGTGCTCCTGAATTAGATTCGCCTCTCCTACCGTTTCTTCAGAGTAAATTAATCCTCAGGGCTGGCCACAACACAAACATCGATGGCCCCGGCATATTTACCTCATTCACCTCAGTTGCTTTCAATGTTTTTTTCTTATGAACAATGACGGGATTAAAGTTTTGTTCCCAGATTTTTGGTAAGTTCCAGAAACTCCCCTCAGATGACATTGCAAAGGAGGAGACGCTGCCTGGAGTGTGCGGCAGGGGAGGTCCTGCAGTCCTGTTCAGGGTCCTCACAGTTCTAGAAAGCTCTCAGGAGACGCAGCCTGAGGTCAAACCATGATGTCACTCTAGTCCCCCCAAGTGTACCTGGTACCCCTGTAAGTGAAGAACACCCCATAAGAGGGCGGCTGGACAATTCCTCTCTTGTTTGGGAAATCTTTTGTCCTCATCCCCAGGAGAAGGGACCCTTGGTCCCCTAGCCCTGCCACAGGGTCCTGAGCCCCATCAGGTGGGTCGGAGCGCCTACAGGTACTTAGGCACCCAGTGTCGCAGTGATGGCTGTGAACATTCAGATTCCTCCACGGCACTATCCCACTTCATCCCTGCGACAACACTGTGTGGAAACACCACTAACATCACCTCCTGGACACAGAGTCCAGGGTCTGGAGCAAGATAAGTAGCCACAGTCAAAGCTGGGTGTTCTTTCTCAGAAAAAGACTTCAGGCTTAGGGTCCCCCACCCCCTTGCCTCTAGGGTCCCAGCCCTGTAAGTACAGTGGCACTCTGGTGACCCCAAAGCTCATGGATGTCAGGATACCCACACTGAAATGTCTGGAGTTATCACATTGGCTCTGTGATGTTTCTTGAAAATACAAGGTGTCTACAGTGCAGCTAACATTCATTAAAACACGTAAGTCGCGGGCTTGTCCTCAGGTGATATCTCTCCTAAAGATGACGACGTGAGCCTGTATGTTGACCAGAGGAAGAAAGGCCAGACAGACCTGAAGATACTGCCACTTGTAGACCTCCATGATTGGTTGGAACATGCGGGAGGGCTAGAGTTACTAGGACTCTCTGTGACCAGGTGGTGGTAAGCAGACACCGTGCTATGTTTCCCAAGAAGCGGGCCCTCACAGGTATAGACCACTCTGAATAAAACGATTTTAGGGTGCTCCGACAGGTCAGGTGTCTCTTTTATTGATTGTTCTACTTACACGGTGGCGCTCTCCTTCGAACTGGCTTCTCTCCATTCCTGCACTAGAGAACCTACCATCCTTTCAGCAAAACCGTGTCTGCTGCTCAGCAGTCCCTTACACCAGCCTTCTCAACCCTTTTGAATACTAAGGATCCTCACAGCAGCTTGGGGAAGCCCTTCCTGGATGCTCTCCACTCCCATATCTCAGAACAAGATCTAGCCACCGTCTGTTGATAAACTTCTAACTGGGGTTGAGGAAAAAATGACCTTCTGAGACTTCTGCAATGGGACACGAAGAGACCCGTGAATAAGTTGGTCGGTGTCACAGGTGCTGTGAGTCCCTTCCCCTGCCTGGCGTCTTTCAC